TGATTCCTCCTGCTTTGTTTTTATTCCTGAGTAATGTCTTGGCTATTCGAGGTTTTTTCTGATTCCATATAAAATGAAGTATTATTTTTTCAAGGATTGCTATTTTAAAGGGTATTCATACTTAGAATTTCCAAATTGGCCTTTATAATGGTTGTACTAATCTGTTTTCCCACCTTTGTGAAGTTTCAGTGTTGTGACTGTGGGACATCAAGTCACTGTAGGCCATTATGGATCTGGAACTCAGCAGAGACTTGCTTAGTCACAGATTTAGGATGGTTAGCATAGAGACATTACAAAGAAACTTCACTGAATTGGATTACAGGTTAGTACACCTGTACAGAGGGCTGAGGAGGTGTAGTACCCACTCAAATGCTGCTGAGGCCAGCCCTTCAGAGAAATACTCAGAAAGACTGAAATTCTAGCTAGTATAATTTGAAATTATTTTTTTGCCTGCTTCATTGAAACCCTAGGATAAACAAGATACTTTGTTTTATTCTATCTTCAAGTGACAAACTTCCTAATAGCGTTTGAGTTTTATCCTTTTCGTGAGTAGAAGATGCTTTTACATTTGGTTTTAAACCATTTCAAATCTCAAGAAAAAAAGGTAAAGATAGATTACAAATGTAATGTATTATAGTAGACTACATTAGAATAGAAGATCACTCTGGCCTCAAAATTCATTGTGCATTGTCACAGTTCTTATAATACATAGAGAAGTCACCAGTGTCTGTGGAAATAAAAAAAAGTACTCAAAAAGAATAAAAGCAATGAAACATAGGGGAGAAATGATGTTACTTGTTAACTATAGGAAAAATTTTTCTGAATTCTACTTATATTTATAATTATTAAGCAGAATTTGCTGAAATATAGTATCTATTTTTATTTGGATATAGCAAACCTGCATGACTTTTTTGTAAGACATCTTTTTAACATGTATACTCACTACTTTAATGATCATTTATGGAAGTATATGACCATATGGTGTAACTGAATTAGTAATAAAGTTATACATGTGTGAGTTTTTAGTTTTGTGAGCAGTCTGTTTCTTATCACTTTTTCCCCCCACAGGCTGAAGAAAATCTTGGTATGGTGATGATCTTTACTCTAGTGACAGCTGTGCAAGAAAAATTAAATGAAATAGTAGATCAGATAAAAACTAGAAGAGAAGAAGAAAAGAAACAGAAAGAAAAAGAAGCCGAAGAAGCTGAAAAGGTACATTTAAAAGACTTGTTTTAGTTTGTTATCCTTTAGATCTCTTGTTGGTTGGGTGGTTGGGCTTATTTTTGATAATTTCAGTCACTGACCTTTTTTTTGAAATCACAGAAGTGAATAAAAGTAAATTTTAGTAAAATTTTTGTAAGAGTGAGATTTTAGAGAAGTCCCTCATTTCGTTGGTGGCATGAGTATCGAGTGATAAGCAATAAAGGTTAGTAAAACTTGTGCACATAAGACCCAGAAATATAAATGATCTCTCCTATGGTATAGACTTTAGAAGCCACTGCTACAGTGATTTCAGTAGTTAACTAAATGTAAAGAAAACCTGAAATTCTGAAATGAAGTGAAGCTTTAATTTGGTATTATGAATTGATACGTGTTCAAAACAGTAATGACCGTGTCAGCTGTCTCCCTAACAATGAAGAGCTGTAGTAAATACAGTAAATGCATTACATATTAACTTCAGCTATTTTTAGATAACAGTTAAAAACAAACTTTATCAGAGTAAGTTGCTAAAACCAATCAAGCAGAAATCAGATGAAATATTCCAAAACATCAAACATAAAATTTTCTGAATTTCTCTAATAAGGGGTTGTGTTTATTTGTTTAGATGATTCCTTAGGCTTTATTTTTCAAACTCCTGTCTCATCAGTCAAGTGACGTATGTCATTGTTTATTTTCTAAGCAATTATTCCATGGCACTCCTGTTACAATTGAGAATTTCTTAAATTGGAAGGCTAAGTTTGATGCAGAACTTCTGGAAATTAAAAAGAAACGGATGAAAGAAGAAGAACAAGCAGGAAAAAATAAATTAAGTGGTATGATTCTCACTCTCATTCCAGTTCTTCCCAACTTGTATCATTTCTAACATAGCAGAATGCCATTTGGGCAGATGTCTGTATAAAGATAATATACTTAGGCATCTAGGACAAAAAGAAAAGACATACCTACTTGACAGTCTTTTTTCACAATTAAATATAAATATTATAATTGTCCTCAGATATGGAAACATTCATGGTCACAGGTTTTATAAGTGATAGAGTCAAACTTATTTGGTTTTTTGGGAATCTAAGGTAGACTAGGTCTTCATTTGTTCCATTTTAATGGAAATATAAAGGTATCGAAATTGACAAAATCAAGTTTTCAACCTTGTTTTCTTAGATTATTTAATATTTCTTTTTTCTTTTCTTTTCTTTTTTTTTCCCCCCCAATAGAATCTCAGTCTGTTGCCCTGGCTAGAGTGCAATAGTATCATCATAGCTTACTACATTTTTTTAAGGGTTGTAGGAAAGATGCAGAAATACTGTGCCATTTGAATTAAAAATACTTATTTCTTTTAGGGAAACAGTTATTTGAAACAGATCATAATCTTGACACATCTGATATCCAGTTCTTGGAGGATGGTAAGATAATATTAGAATTCCACTTGTATAAAATGTGCAGTCTTTAATTTTAAGCCATGAAAGTCAGAGCTTTAATTTTAATTAATGTAAATTTTTTTTCCTAAAGCTGTTAAAAAATACATTTTGAAGAATAACTTTCCATAGTTGATCAGTTTGTACATTTGAAATGAATTTTGTAATTCTATAGCAATATATTTTTAAAATTTTGTAATAACTGAAATAGTATCAAAGATAGCAGTAGATAGACGTACTAGTCCAGGCTTAAGGAGGGAAGCTCTTCACATTGGAAGGCTGTATTTAAGAAACTTCAGTTAGGTTTACTTACAGATATACATTATGGTAAAAATCTAACTACTCTGTGCTTATAATTTCAAAAAATGAAAACTACTTGTTAATCTTAAAGTTAACCTTTTAATGAGTTAGTTGTGTCTGCTTTTTCTTGAAGAGCATTTGAATATTTGGTGGTGGCATGTAGGTCTGCAGTTTCAGTTAACTCTTTAGAAGGGTATGTCAGTCATTTGTGACCCTAAGCGCTTCTTGATTTGAGTTGAGTAGGAGAATGTAGATTTGCAGCAGTAAGTGGTTGAAAAGCAAGAAAGCAACAAGGAGAGGAAGTAACTGGCCCAAGGTCTTACTGCTTTTGAGTGGCAGAGCTAGGATTTAAACTCAGAGACTGAGCCTCCAGATCCCTGCTATCCCCATTACACCAAGCTTCCCTCCTGACTGTCCTAAAAATATTGACTTGCCTTTCTCTTTCACTCAATAGTTCTGAAATAAGTAATCCATTTAGGTGGGGTGCTCTGCTCCACTGGCTGTTCCAAGACCCATGTTCTCTAATTTATTGTTTGTTCCTCCTCCCTCAGGGGTACCACTATCTGACACAGTAGCTGCTGGTGGTTTAATTTTAATTAATTTAAAGGAAAAAAAGGCAATGAAACATTTTGGAGGCATGTTGCTTAGAGATTTTACTGTCTTTTTCCATATGTTGGTTGGATATTCTTTAGCATCAAACCATGACTTTAAAATGTCATCTACTGGGGTGGCACCTGTGGCTCAAAGGAATAGAGCACTGACTCCATATGCTGGAGATGGTGGGTTCAAGCCCAGCCCCGGCCAAAAACTGCAAAAAAAAATGTCATCTACGTAGAACTCAATCAATTCCATCTGTAGTTCTTCTGGAGCCTTGGAGATGTCAACTAGGAGGCTTCATGAAATGCTGATTTGAGTATGATGTCATTTTTAAAGTCAGTGACTTTTCATTGTATTCTACAATTAGTAGGTCTGCAACAGGTCTGTATTTTCACATGATTCACATATATTATACTGATCATCAGTGACCTTTGCTATCTGGGGAAACTGTTCATCCAAAGTGTCCTTTTGAAGAAGTGTTTTGAAAACAATATTTATCAAAGTGCTTGGGTTTTTTTGCTACTTCTCATATATAGACTTAGAAATATTCAAGTCATTTTAATTTGACAAGATACCACACAGAAATGCTGCCTTCTTATAGAAATCTTTCAAATATTCACGTTGCTGATTCTGTTCTTTGTAAAATTTAACTATTCTCAACAGATAAATTTTGGCTAACTCCTGTCTCTGCGTTAGTTAATGCACTTTAGAATGACATGGAAAATCCATACTGATTACCTTATTGTTTAACTTTAGCATGTTATGAAGCTGAGGATGCATAAATACAGTTACCAATACTTATAACTTGTTGGGAAGTGTCACTTAACATAGCTTTAGCATGGAGATTTTGCAGATGCAAGATACAGTGAAAAGATGTAAGAGCATCTGGATCTGTTAATCACTTTTTTATGTGTCCAATAAACCCTTCACTGGGAGAGTGCAGATGTTTAATGCACAGCCTAGGTATTATTTCCTGTAGGCCTTAGACATTTAGTCTTAGACACTGTTACTGAAGGCATACTGTGAGGGAACTGGGTGAGAGTAAAGGTCAAGTTCAATCTGTCAATTAGATAACAAAGATAGCTGAGCTTTAATGATGTGCTTATCTGCCACTATTAGAAGAGACAACTGTCATCCGTGGCCAGTGATAATGAAGTTTGTATAACCAGGGCAACATATCATCGTCTTCAACTTACAGTGTGCCACATTAAAAGCATTAATTCTAATAAGACTTGTTTTATTTTTTTTTTTAATAACTGGACTTTATGAAAACATGAAGTTACTCTTAAAATGTTAGTCCCTATTGACTAACATGGATTGTTGCTGATATATTTGGAGTAGTAGCTTGGGATTTTATTACTCATGTCTCACGTGAAGATGTAGAAGTTTCTGTTTGGTACTACCAGTGAGTTTTATCTTTTGTTCCTGAGTGTAAGACCGAAGGTAAAATTCTTTTCCTTTTGTAGCTGGAAACAATGTGGAAGTAGACGAGTCCTTGTTCCAGGAAATGGATGACTTGGAGCTGGAGGATGATGAGGATGATCCAGACTACAATCCTGCTGACCCGGGGAGTGACTCAACTGACTGAGGGACTGTCCCCATCTGCAGAGAGGCTTGACTGCCACAGCATCTGTGGCTATGCTCGGAGGGTTTTGATTTTCCTTTCTTTTTTTCTAAGAAAAAATAATTTTCAGGAGAATATCTTCTGATAGCTTTCATCATTGAACTTAATAAACTGACCTTAAAATTTCAAAAATAAGATGTTCAGTTCTTCTTATTGGTGAGCGGAAGTTTGCATATTTAAAAAGTACTTAGTTTTGGAGAGAAAGATCCTGCCTGTCACACCAAGACTTGAAGGTAGGCTGCACCTGGCACATTTGGGTTTACACGAGAAATTGAAACGACTCTGAATTTCTGTGCTGCAGTCAGTGGATTCCCATTGTCACTAATACAAAGTATGAAAAGACTGAGGTGACTAGAATATTAAAGCTTCTGGATTCTTGCCTCCAGACACAATAAATTTAAGTGTTAACAAAACCAGAAGCTCATTATGACCCGGATTACAATGGACTTTAATCTTTGTCTTAGTTCATTTTGTGTCACAATAACAGAATACCTAAGGTGGTATTCTTTAATTAATTAATTAATTTATTTATTTTTTTATTTTTTTTTATTTTTTTGAGATGGAGCCTCAAGCTATCCCCCTGGGTAGAGTGCTGTGGCATCACAGCTCACAGCAACCTCCAACTCCAGGGCTCAACCCAGTCTCCTGCCTCATCTTTAATTTATTTAAAAAAAAAAAAGTTAAAAGGTTTATTTGGCTTGTTATTCTTGATGGCTGAAAAGTTTGGAATTGGACAAGTGGTAAGGGCGTCAAGGTGAAGGGGCAAAGGGAAGTCCTACACGCAGAGATCTATGTGAGAAAAGCAGCAAGGCAATGGCTTCAGGGGGGTATCAGGCTTTTTTTAAAAAAGAAAAAAATTCATCTCATTTGGGAACTAACAACTCACTCACCCCTTCCTTCCGAGGAGGAGGACATTAATCTGTTTATGAGGGATCCACCCTTATAACTGAAACACCACAACGCCGAGGGTTAAATTTCAACCAAGGATTTGGAGGGGACAAATATCCAAATCATAACAGTATTTTAGTAGTATTTGAGTCAGAATTATTTGTGGGATTTTTAAAAGGTATGCATTATAAAAACTAGGCCCTCCTCAGATTAGATTCATAAATCCTGTGTGAATCTTAAAACTGTAACATCTGATACCACAATAAGATGAGAACCATTGTCCTGCAGTTGTGACATGTAAATATTTTGATACTCATTTTCTGCCTCTTGTCTAATTAACAAGTCTGAATTGGTCTGAATTCTTGTAATTGTACATTGTCTACAAGAGAAACACACCTTCACATCCATGCATGTGTGAGACCATGATGATAATTTGGGATGATTGACTTGGTGGTTCAGGTAGGAGAACCAAGCTTCATACAAGTTACTTCAACCCAATGGGAAATAACTTGTGCTATTATAAAATTTTAAAACTACTATAAATAGCTGCCTTCACTCAAAAATACATAGGCCACATACCCATAACACAACAATATCAATCCCACATTTATTTTTGGAGATGGACCTTATAAGAAAAGCAAATTATTTAAGATAAAATTGTTAGTTTTTAGTACTTTTCAAAGAATCTTAGGCTCCCAGAAACTTGGATCGCAGAGCAATAGAATGGAATAGGAGTAACGTTCACTGCTTTGCAGAGGGAAATCGAGAAGTTTGTGTTGTGTGAGATTGTTCTTTTTCTAAGGAGGCACGCTTTTAGAAGCTGATCCACAGATGCCTAAGAACCTGGAAGAAGCCATTTAATTAAGGTTAAAAAAAGCAATGGTGAGGAAAGTGATGCTGAAGTCAATGAAGATTTAACTTTGAGGTGTCAAGAATCAGACCCCCTCCCCTTCACTTAATATTTTAGGATAAGTTTTATACATTTCCTTCAGGTGTTGAAGTGTATTTCCACCTTTGCCATTTCAGAACCTAAAGACAGAACCCAATGATAAAATTAAGACAACCTTGTTAGCTCTAATGATACTCCCAAGTATTTTTACCTGCAATGAATATTACCTTTACTATTGGCTTTGTACTCTCAGAATTAACCTAAGACTATGCTTCTCAAATGGGAACACACATTCTCTAAGGATGTGCAACAGGATGACTGGGGGCTATTTGATGGAATAATTGGCCCATCTTAGATTATCAGTTTTTTGTTTTTTTGATAGAAAGTCTCACTTTGTCTCCCTTGTAGAGTGCTGTGGCGTCATAGCTCCTGGCAACCTCAAACTCTTGGGCTTAAGTGATTCCCTTGCCTCAGCTTCCCGAGTAGCCCGGACTACAGGCACCCACCACAACGCCTGGCTATTTTTAGAGATGGGGTCTCGCTCTTGTTCAGGCTGGTCTGGAACCTGTGAGTTTAGGCAATCCACCCGCCTTTGCCTCCCAAAGTGCTAGGATTACAGGCGTGAGCCACCACCCCAGCCCTGTTTATTTGCTTTAATGTGCCAGACAAGTCACATGATTGGAGAACTGTAGGGAGTGATTTTAGAAAGACACCATTGAGTGGCAGGAACGTTAGAAGAGAAGACATGAAGTATAAGTGTGGGTGACATCAGTTTTCTGCTTTTGGATCTGTGTAAGGGTAACAGGAAAGAATGCTTCTCAGAGGTATATATTTGCGTTTTAGTGAAGTTTCATGTAACCTTTCAAGATACTGGTGTCAGAGAATGGATAATAGGGTCATTTTAGTTGTTAGGCAAACTCATCAAAGAACTTTTAAGTTGTCATCAAAAAATGACTAATTTTAATTTTACATCTAAAAATAATTTCCATTATTTAGTGTTACTGAATGAATCTCAATTCAATTTTCATTTTTTCTTTTATTTATTATTTTTTTTTATTGTTGAGGAGTCATTGAGGGCACAGAGAACCAGGTTGCATTGATTGCATTTGTTAGGTAAAGTATTGACACCATGGATACCATAGTAAAAATGTCACAAATTTGCTTTGCAGTTGTTGATAGGGAATGATCCCTTTAAAAGATCTATTAAATAAGCAACCTTATTGAGCTACTCTTTATCGTCAAAGTGAGCAGTTTATTCAATTAGTGTATTTTATTTAGTGCTACTATGCGCCAGTCTTTCTTTGTGGTATTGTGAATATCCTTAGGAAGGACAGTCAGCCCTGAGTTTTAGTATTCTGACAAGCACCTTACCCATTTGTAGCAATGCCAACAGATTTATTATGTAATAGACCAACCTTTTAAAGTCATTCCCCAACATACGTGAGCCCCACTCCCATCACGAGTGCTGCTGTCCATGGTTCTGAACCATCAATATTAACTAGCATATGGTTGTTACTCTTCGTCCTATGACGCACCAAAATATCATAGGAATACTGAACCAAGGGAGGAGAAAAAGAGGGAAAGGAGATAGGGGGAATTGTGAGAGAGAGGAGAGGAGGGAGAGAGAGGAAGAGGCTGTTGGCAAAAGCACAGACCAAGAGAAGAAAAGTGAGAACAAACGGTCTAATGACGTTTTCACATAACTGAGGTAAAATACGAGGAAGGGAGAGAGGGGTTATACTTAGTCCACCGAAGTATTTTTATTTCTTTACACACTTAACATGATGAGTTTTTAAGTAATTGTTTTGTTTTTGCCATTTCTGCTACACATTTACTTATCTTCAGATACACTTCCTAGACTTTCTTACAGCTAGTGCCCCATCTCTAAGTCGTTCTCTTTGAAAGCACAGCCTCCATTGATTTTCTTGACTTCATCCCCTGCACAAAGATGAAGGGTATTTAGTTCTGAAAATCCTATACAGTCAAAACAATTAGGTCGATAACAAACAATGCACCATTGATTTGTTGACTGAAAATAATTTGGAAACAAAAGAAAACATATTTTAAAAGGTAAGTTTTTTTTTTAAAGTGTCACAAAAAGTAAAGGTAAAATATTTACTGAGGATAAAGTGTTACAAAACTACCTTATGAAGCTCCTCTACACCAATACTAAGAGAAAAGTTGACAGTAATAACCAAATTTACATTTGAGAAATGATAGTTGTGATGAACTTGGCCTTTCAAAGTCATTTTAATCAAAACCAATTTTTAAATCACTTTCAATAAACTAGTTTTCAATTTCTAAGTTTTTCAGTCAAATTTCCTGGGGAAAAATAGTTGCTAGGCGCCCTCCAGAAAGTAAGACTAGAAAGTCATGTTGGAGCTGTACTGTGGAAGGCCAAGGAAGTAGGGTGGGAGCAGAAGTCATGTCAACCACATACTGAACGGTATTCTGTGCAAAGGAACCCTTTCTACTACATGTATTATTGAAAAACTACTAACCTGCTATTTTATCAATTAAGTCATTTAGAAATTAACAGTTTTCTTACTACTACAACTGTATCTTTAAAACACCAATAAAAGTGCCACATCACTGCTTGCATCAATTGTAAGGTCATCTACTAGTTCTTCAGTGTGCTTTTGAGAAGAGGGATGGAGCTGAAAAGTGCTTTGGGTTTTATTAAAAGACAAAACTATGACAATCCTAAATCTCAGATTTTTAAATAACATTTATATTGTTTGAATGTGGGCATTTTTCTACTTATATAAGATAAAAGCAGCACCTATTTATATAGGAAAATCAAAATGGAAAAATACATTAGAACATTCATAATCGTTCCACTTAAATAATCGGATCCTGATGTCTAGTTGCATAAGTCCCCAGGCCCCTTTCTAGTCATTTCTGTCAAAAGCGGGACCACTATGTATACTTGATGATGGGCCTTGTCTGTCTGCTCCCCTACTTGGTGTTATAATAGTGCTAGAATAATCACTAGCAGAGATCAGGCACTCTGTACATATCTGTTGAGTGTGTAAATAAATGAGCCATTTTCTACTACTGCTCTGTAACATACTGTAATTTTTAAAATACACCAATTGCTTTATAGATTGGGATAAATAAATTGAATGTGACAAAAGGAGCATTCCATCCCCCACAATTTAGAAAAACAGATGAAAATACTTAAAGTTCTACAATGCTTTGGAAAATTGTCTCTGTCACACACACATACACTTCATCCTGAGTGTACCAGTATTTTTTTTTGCCATATAATTTTACATTTATTCTTTTTTATTATTAAATCATAGCTGTGTACATTAATGCAATTATAGGGTACAATGTGCTGGTTTTATATACAAGT